ATTTACAAGACAGAATTATCAGAACTTAAGTAGTTATGGCATATATTTTTAAGCATGTTTGTCTGCCAAGGTTTATGAAAAAGCTCTTTTTATCTCCCAGCGATTATACAATGCACTAGGATAATTATGGTGCAGATTATTGGTTTTACTTTTAGATGACTTAAAGTACCACTATCTTAAGCAATTATTGTACTTTATCTGTCTGTGAATTATATCTTGAGCAGAATTTATTCAGCAATATTTAGTAGAAACTGATGGCATTGGATCTACTTTGCAGAGCCACTGGCTTTATTTTCAAAAACACCTTTTAGCACAGTAAGTTCCATTAAATAGGTAAAACTGTAACTAACAAACACCTTTTTTTTCCAAAAGAATAAAGAGAAATATGAAAAGGCACCTAGTAACACATTCTAGATAAAATCAAAACTTCAGTGTAGGCCCATCCATAGGAGTCATCCCAAATGAATGACAGTTCTATATTCTCTTCAGCTCACTTCTGCTTCCCATACCTGTTGTCACTTACCCAACTCACACCCTACTTATGTCTCGTCTCTTGGGGACCATCAGAGGAGCCCACTCCCACCCCTGTCTCTCACTCTGCTCTCTTCCTTTTATCATCTGTTCTACCCAACCCCAACAAAGGATTTTCAAAAGTAAATCTGTGTTGTATAAATAAAATGTTGGCATATACATACATTTTACTCAGCCTTTAGAAGGAATGAAATGCTGACATATGCTACAAACCTTGAAGACATTATACTAAGTGAAATAAGTAGACACAAAAGGAAAATTACTGTCTGATTCCTATTACCACTTATATGAGCTACCTAAAATAAGCACATTCATAGAGACAGAGAGTAAATCATAGCTACCAGTAGCTAGAGGAGAGGGTAGAGGGAGTTATTTTTTAGAGAATGTAGTTTCTATTTAGAATGACGAAAAAGTTCTTGTGATAGTAGGGGTGGTTGTGCAACTATATGAATATATTGATGCCACTGAATTACACAATTATAAATGGTTAAAATAAGTCATATATATTTTTATGAGAAAACAAGTATTTTAAAAACAAATCTAATCTTAGTTTGCTTGATCAGAAATGCTATTTACAAAATAAAGATCAAACTCCTTGATATGACTGTGATAGGCCTTCAGAATTCACTTGCAGTTTATCTTTCTAACACTGTTATTTCTCACTGCCATACACCTCAACCCTACCTTCAATCACGTTGGCCAAATGAAGGTTACTGAACCTGAGTTCTACTTTGCTCCTCTGTTTCTTGATTCTCCAATCTTCAGCAGAGAAATCACATTCTTTGCTTCAACTTCCTTCTTTTTTAAAAAAAAGATTTATTTTTATTTATACAAAGCACTGGGGTACAGGTTAGAGGCTCTGGAGAGTGAGAGGATTCACCAGAGACAGAGCAGGGAGCAGAATAGGCAGACGGACTGAAGTACACTGCTAAGGGGAGCAGCAGGTGAGCCAGGAGAGGTCTGCCTTGCCATGTGGGTATCTCCCCGGCAGGCAGGGAATCGAACAGCACTGCAGAGGCTGTAGACAGCTTCACAGCACTGCGCTCAATCCACTGCACCACTGGGGAGGTCCTCAACTTCCTTCCTCTTAATAGTGGAAACTGTGATACTTAACTCAAAGCCAGCAGCTCTTGGAATGAGGCCTCCATTCCAAAGTCAGAGTTAATGACTAGCCCTTAGGATGGAACCTGCTAGAACATTTTCCCATAACTATTTGTGAACTCTGAATATGAGTTCCTTGGTGACAAGAGTTACTGTTTTTATTTGCTTTTTCATGCAATGATGATTATCAGTGCAGGGACAGTGGAGGTCTTACTGCACAAAATTTGCATAACCCTGAGAATGAGTCCCTGTTAAATTTTATGACCTTGTTGCCTTATCTAAGTCTTAACTCTTGTAATTAACAGCTTACCTTGCCATTAGTAGGTGCTTATAACACATTGTATTAGTTAGTCACTACTATATAAATACTACAAAATGTCCCCAAATCTAAATAAATAGTAAACATATTACTTTACTGCTTCTGAGGGTCAGGAATTTGGGAGTGGATTAGGATGGCAATTCTGATACAGAATCTCACATCTCACATGAGGTCACAGTAAAAATGTCTGGGGGTGTAGTCATCTGAATGTTTGACTAAAGTTAAAGCATTAGGTTCCCAGGGAGTTCACATACATGGCTATTATTGAAAGGCTTTAGCTCCTTGGTGTATGAACTTCTCCCTCAGGGCTACCTGAGTGTTCTTACAATATGCCAGCAAGTGATCCAAGAGATGGGCAACCCAGAAGATGCAATATATTTTATGTCCTAGCCATAGAAATTGTACTGTCATTCCTCTATCATCCAATATTTACACAGGTCAGTTCTACTAAATGATAGAAGGGACCAGAAAGGACAGAAATACCAAGCATAGTGATTTGGGGGAAAGGGCAATCATCTTAGAGGACAGCTTCCACAGACATGCTAGTTTGATTATGTTGAATTAGATTACCTAGCAGCAGGCAGTATTACTTCTGGCATCTGTTACATCTTGTGAAGTTGACTTTTGTCTTTTATTTTTAAATCATTGAATTGCTAATATTTTTAATGGAGAATATATCTGAGTTATTTTTCTATCCCCTATTGGCATTACCATCTTTTGTACACAGCGGTAACATGATTGATGTATAATATTCAGAGAGATTGTCATTTACAACAAGTACCTGTTTAGAACTAGAGCTTACTGGGTTGACAAATTAAACTAGAAATAATAGAGCTAAAAGCTATAACTCTACTTGCACTCATTTGCAAGCTTGGAAAAACATAAAATTACAGTAGTAGTAGTAGTATAGTAGTGGTGGTGGTGGTGGTAGTGGTACTAGTAGTATCAGTTGTAGTTGTATCTGCCCCCAGCATTCCTGTCTTAGTCTTACATACAGTGACTCTGAAAGAAAAATTCCATCTTCCCTTCACACTAACTGTGTGATCTTAAACATATTTAACTTTTCTGTGACTTAGTTCCCTTGTATGTAAAGTAGAATTACTGACAGTACTATTTTTTAGGCTTGTTGTAAGTATTAAATAAGGTGATTCAGGAAAATTATTTAGCACAATACTCAATAAATGTTTATTATTGTTACCATTTTTTTTAAAGATTTATTTATTTATTTATACAAGCACTGTGTACAGTCAGAAGCACGGGAGGGTGAGAGAATTCACCAGAGCCAGAGTGGGGAACAGAACAGGCAGTCTGATGAAATACACTGCTGAGTGGAGCAGCGGGTGCGGCAGGAGAGGTCTGCGCGCCATGTGGGACCCTCGCCAGCGGCCGGGGATCAAATCCGCGCTGCAGAGGCTGCAGGCAGCTTCGCAGCCCAGCCCTCAACCACTGTGCCACTGGGGAGACCCTATTGTTACCGTTATAACTATTTAATACTGTTATCTAGGCATATCTAACCATCATATCTAGCCATTGATCTGATAAATTCCCAGTGTAACACTTGGCTCACATCATTCCTTCTGCATAAAATTTTGGCAAATTTTAAAATTTTTCTAAGCTCTAGATTTCTTGTACTCACTTTTCCAAACAATAATGATTATCAGAACAGGGACAGTGAAGGGCTTACTGCACAAAATTTGCATAACCCTGAGAATGAGTCCCCACTTCTATTTATGGCCTTCTTGCCTTATCTGAGTCTCAATTTGGGTAATTAACAGTTACCCTTCTTTCATCTTCAATAATTAGATGATGTCCTTGACCATGAGAATATCTGCTTATACCCCAGTTCCCTAATACCCTTTAGCAGTACCTTCTCCTAAACACTTTTAGTACAATCAAATCCTTTGTTGCCTTGTTTTGGTTTATATATTTGATCTTTCATCCCAATTAAAAAGAAATTCTCTATAGAATGGCTTCATGTCTTGTAACTCACTGACACCTTGGTCCATACAGAATATTAGACAACTCAGGCCTGTTAATAATTAAGCTGTAGAGCATCTAACATAATGTTACTAACGAGATTCTGTAATACAGTCACGTGTGGTTTAACAACAGAGATTCATTCTCAGCAATGTCATTAGTGATTTCATCATTGGATGAAATTACATAGAATACAATTAACAAACCTAGATGGTATACAGCTAAGCTATATGGTAGATCAATTGGGACCACAGTCATAGATCAGATCTGTCATTGACTAAAACGTTGCTAAGCCATGTATGACTGTAAATGCTTCTTTATCTCAAGCAATGAAGAGATTATACTGTTAGCACATTTGGGTTAGGGATGTGCTTTTTATTGATTCAAATTACAACTCTGAACATGACTTTGTTTTGTTGAGGAATGAAACCTTAATATGTACTGCTGAAATTCAACATCTTAAAATGTTATCATTTATTAAATTTTTCTTAATCTGGCATGTAAAGGAGATAGAAATATAAGCCTGTTAATTTCAATGATGAATTTAAAAATACTAAACATTTGAACCACAATGCCAGATTTGGGATCAGTCTACTTCAGGCTGAAAGATTTGTTCTATTCTGCAAGGTTAAGAAAGCAAGAATAAAATTTTTGACTGCCTGGTTTGAACCCGGTTATTTATAGTCAATTATGTGTGCAATCCTTATAGTTATCACATCATTATATTTCTTTATATGAAAGAAAACTAGAGCTTAGAGAAATTGAAAAATTAATCCAAAAAGTGATAAAGCTGGAATTTGAGTCCAGGTCTGTAAGCTCCTGTGCATATACATAAGTTCTGAAATCCCCATTCATCATATAGCACTGGCTTTCATACTGTACTATATATCACCAAAGGTGGTGACAGTAGAGACAGAGATTTGAGGATCACTCATCGTTAACAGAGTACAGCTTTTCCAAAGTTTTAAGGCACCCATTTTCCCCAAAGACTATAGCTATGTTTCATTAAGAGGAACCATTAACATGTTAACTATTATTCTAAAAGATGCTATGCTCTTGGACTCAATTACAGGAGCCTTGGGAGCACCATTTTTGTGGGAAGACCCAGCAAACCAGTTCCTGCATCTCAAAAGACAAATACACTTGCAGGATTACGGGGACCCAGATCACAATGCAAATATATGGGGAAACTGGCTGATCAGGTATTTGCATTAGAAACAAATGGTCCTTCACCATCAATTTTTAAAATAGATATCATATCAGCTGGTATGAACATCAGCAGCCCAACCCATGATTCCTTCTCTTTAGCTGTTCTATTCTTTCCTCCCCACGAAGTGACTTTTGCCTGCAAACTCCACCTTCTACTTTAAGACTAAGATCAAATGTTCCCTCCTTTCTAGATCTTCTCCATTCTTTCCAGGAAGGCATTTGTCCTTTCAGCATCTCACACCATTGCATGCTCTTCACATGTGAATAGCTCTCAAAATGTCACATGGGAATTATTTCTTTTATGCATTCAACTTTCTTGCCTACACTATAAAAGTAAGGTATATGTCTTATTCATCAAGGTCATTATTCTCAGGACTTAGTGAAATGACTGCTATTGAGTCAAGTCACGGTAAATTATTACACATTTTGTTAGGTGGAAGGAAAAACTGTAGTTACATTTCCCTGTTGGTTGTTCAACAGTCAATTTTCTTCTGTGACAATTATTCCAGCCTTTAATATCACTGCTTCATTTACTTGCCTTTTGCACATTTTCCTATTCATTTGTATGCTCTCTCTCAGAGAAATAAAAAGGAAATTTGCGTTAGCCAGTTTTATTCCATATAAACCTTTTTGATGGAAGAAACATTGAATTTCAGGCCAAATGAAATTGCTGATTTTTTTTTTACTTTTTTTAATTACTTTTTTACATCATTTTTCATTTTTAAACAATATTTGCTTCCCCCCACGCCCTCAGGTGTAGTCCCCATAGTTTCCTTCACCAATGCACCTGTGCACCATCACCTCAGTCCCCTGTGCTCCTTCCTCCTCCTCCCCTGCAGTATGTTTCTGACTTGTAATTGTCTGTTTTTGCTTTGTTGTGTTTTGCACTTTTATTATTTTTTTGCACTGATGTCTTATTTGGTTCCCCTATATTCCTGCTTTAAGTGAAATCATCCGATATTTTTCTTTTTCCTTCTGGCTTATTTCACCGAGCATAATTCCTTCTAGTTCCATCCACATTGCTACAAATGGCATGAGTTTATCTTTGATTGCTGAACAATATTCCATTGTGTATATATGCCACATTGTGTATATATGCCAGCCATCTATTTTTGGGCATTTGGGTTGTTTCCAGGTTTTACCTATTGTAAATAGTGCTGCAATAAACATAGGTGTATAGGTGTTCTTTTGAATCAATGTTTTTGTGTCATTTGTGTAGATTCCTACTAGTGGAATTGCTGGGCCATATGGTAGCTCCATTTTTAGTAGACTAGGGAACTTCCAGATAGCTTTCCATAGTGGTTGGACCAGTTTGCACTCCCACCAGCAATGTAGGAGAGTTCCTTTTTCTCCACATCCTCACCAACATTTGTTGTTGCTTGTTTTTTTGATATGTGCCATTCTTACTGGTGTAAGGTGGTATCTCAACGGGTTTTTTTTTTTTTTTAAGCTGAATTGCTTTTTTTTTTTTTTAAAAGATTTATTTTTTTATTTTATTTTATTTATACAAGTGCTGGGTACAGTCAGAAGCGCGGGAGGGTGAGAGAATTCACCAGAGCCAGAGCGGGGAGCAGAGCAGGCAGAAGGACCGAAGTACACCGCTGAGGGGAGCAGCGGGCAGCAGGAGAGGTCTGTGCCATGTGGGACCCTCCTCTGGTGGCGAGGGAGCAGCCGGGGATCGAACCGGCGCTGCAGAGGCTGCGGGCAGCTTCGCAACCCAGCGCTCAACTGCTGCGCCACCGGGGAGGCCCTCAACGGTGTTTTAATTTGCATTTCCCTGATGATAAGGGATGTTGAACATTTTTTCATATGCCTGTTGGCCACTTTCATTTCTTCTTTGGAGAACTGTCTTTTAAGTTCTTCTGCCCCCTTTCTTGACTGGATTGTTTATTTTGTTTTTGTTGAGTCGTGTAAGTTCTTTGGATAGCTTTGTGATCAGTTGACTGGAGTAAATTGCTGAATTATTTTAATATATAAATTATTCATAATTTCCCTCTTAACAATTTAGTAATGTAGAAAATGAAGATGTATAACAAATTAATCCATTTCTTTACTTATTTGTTCTTTCTCTCTTTCCACAAATATTAGGTTCTCCTATCACCTGGCACAGGATTGTACAAAGTCAGGACAAAAAATTGAATGTTATTGTTGTTCTGGAGCCTGGGCCCTCTCCTCAGTCTGCATGTCTGAGGTTTTTTTTTAAAAAAGGTTTATTTATGCATACAAGAACAGGGGTACAGGCCAGAGGTGTGGGGGGTGAGAGGGTTCACCAGAGACAGAGTGGGGAGCAGAACAGGTGGATCGACTGAAACACACTGCTGAGGGGAACAGCAGGTGAGACAGGAGAGGTTTGCTGCGCCATGTGGGTATCTCCCTTGCCAGGGATCGAACGTGTGCTACAGTGGTTGCGGACACCCTCATAGTGCTACGTCTTAACCATCCAGGGAGGCCCTGAATGTCTGAGTTGTTTTATTTTATTTTATTTTATTTTATTTTATTTTATATATTTTTACATCATTTTTCATTTTTGCACAATGTATGCATTTTCATCTTGGTTATAGTCCCCATACAATCCCACCCTGCCTTGTTTTGATGTGAGTTTTAACTGGTCCACCAGGACTGGCTTGTTTCTGCTTAGCATGCATTGATGAAAACCACCAGTTTGTATAATCCATCTAGTTTTATGGCTTTTTTTCCTCCAATAGACATCATTTAGAGGAACTGAAACAAGACACTCATTTATTTGACAAATTAAATAATAACAGACTGGAGGATTGTGCATTCTTCATGGAATTTTGAAATTTTTCAAGTACACTCCTGCCTATTATTGTAGACAAGTTCTTTAATCAACTGACAGATACTATAATGTAACCAGAGTCTCCCGCATTGTTTCATACCACATCCTCACAAACACCACAAAACATTTCAGTATTGAAATAAACAGATCGCTGAAGGTGTGAAACCAAATCTTATTTGGTACAATTCTTCCACTGTATTTCTGTCAATCTTATATGACCCTCTATTTGATCATCAGAATAACAGATATAACCTGTGTTCTACAAACTCAGAGATCATGACTTAAGTTTCCTTTCATTTCAGGCTCGTGAAACATGGACTAATTTGAAAACAAATGCACAATATTATCTGAATGTGAACACCTACACCATCGACAAGTCTACTGCCCCATAAATGTGCTTTACTTGTTAAACCAGGAAAGAAGAAATGGTGGAGCCAGCATGGCATCATACAAAAACCACAGGCTTCGGCGACCTGGAGACAAATCCATGCCATTCACTAGATTATTTATTATGTCTGTCTCACAGAAGTGGTGAAAGGAGTAACTGAAAATTCACAGAAACCTAGAATTAGAAATTTCCAATAAATGGAAGCTTTTAAAACAAGAACTAAAGATAACAGTAATAGCATTTATCTAAAAATAGGCTTTTATAGAAAAAGGAAATCAAAAGCATAAAAGAGTATCATTAAAACTCTGTTCATAGCTCTTGCATTCTACTGTCTTCTTGAGAGAGTCTGTGCAATTTTTTTTTTAATTTATTTCACTGTATGCATATAAGAGCTGGGGTGTAGGCCAGAGGAGTGGTGAAGTGAGAGGATTCACCAGAGACAGAGTGGAGAGCAGAACAAGCAGACTGACTAAAAGACACTGCTGGGAGCAGTGGGCAAGAGAGGAGAGGTCTGCTGTGCCATGTGGGTTAGCTCCAAGGCCAGGATCTAACATACTGCAGAGACTACCAATGGCTTGATAGTGCTGAGACTTAACCCCTCGTGTCACCAGGGAGGCCCTAGTTTGTGCAATTTTTAATTCAAGGAAGAGGAAGACTCAGATGAAGTTGGTCCTCTTCTCTTTTTCTTCAGTACTCATCACTTTTCTAAAGACAGTGTATTAAGAGCACGGTTTTTAAACTTCTATTCATCAAAGGTATACTGCTGAAGGTAGTAGAGAATAAGATCTTAACTCACTGAGGAGTAGACAATGACTACAAAGTTCCTGGAAGCTTTCTTAGAAGTTTTATAAAATATGTGCAATTTTGCATGCTGGTCCACAATACTGACTTTTCTTCAATGAGAAACAATAGTTTTAAAGAAACCTCACACCCATTATCAAGCACTCCCCTCTTCCTCATGCCCGAATCCCTAGCAACAATGATTTACATATATTTAAAAAATCAGAGAAAAATATTTTATCTTTCTGTATCTATTTTTAAAAACAAATATTTTAACTTACAGGCAAGGCACATTTGTTAATCTTTTCCCATAAAATGAAAAGACTGACTCTAAAGAAAAGTCTGCAGTTATCCTATAGTTTTCCATATGTCTGTGGAATATGACTTCAGTACTCTAGCTTGAGGAGTACTAAAGAGATGAAAGTTCCAAGATTGCCCCCAAAATCACAGCTAAGTGTAATTTTTTTTCTTCAAAAGTCTACTTCTCTCTATATACCTAGGTCAACTGCTCTCTGGGAAGAGGGGAGATTTCGCCTAGTAAACAGAAGTATCCTGTTCCTTCTCCTTCCAGCTCTCTGGCATCCTGCTGCACTGGCTGAGATCCTTGATGTCACTCTCTGAGGCAAATAAAACTAGAAGTTCTGAATTCAGACAATAATAAGATGGCTCTTCAAGCTTCAGGGACACTGTGAATAGGCATTTGGGAGAGATCAGTCACACTAGAATGGAGCTGGGGACTTGAGGAAGGGTGCTTCATCAGGAAGAAAAGAGAGAACCCATCAGAATGGGTAGAAAAGACTGAGAAACAGTAACAGCACAAACAGACAAAGACATCTTCTTATATCAGTGGCAGGACAAAAAAATAAGATGCAATTCAATTTCTCCACATGCTGTACAATGAATCAATGAAAGAACTGAATAAAACCTCAATATTTTCTCATTTCTGGTCTTTAGCTTCATTCATACAACAGATCTAATCTCAAAAGTGATCCATTCTCCTGTGCCAATTCATTTTAATTTAAATAAAGTAACTAATGGATGAGTGTACTCTCTATATAGAAGAAATTAAAAATGAAGGTATTTATTTTCATGTGCTGATTTCACTTATTCCATTTATTTTCTTTGGATTGATTTAAAACATGCAGACATCTGAACCAGGCAGGGGGGAAATATATATATATATATATATCACTGTTATCTTCAATGACAGCGACAGTCTGAATGAATTTTATTGAAAGTAATTTAGCATTGACTGGTTAAATATACAAACTACCCATCCAAAGCAGAAATACTGCCAGACTCCTTCAAATTAAGGACAAAAAATAAATGTGTGGCAGTTACATCACAAATTGGAGCTGTCTTGGATGGCAGTTCAAATGTATAAAATGAAATAAATTATCTAAATTTGAAATATTTTATTCCATCTATCACAGTGACAAAAGCAGCTACATTTTCTCCACCTGGTCAAAACATTCGAAAACAAGCCTGTTTTTAATATTCATATAAATATTTATTCACATTTAGCATAGATGAATTATATTTTATAATTTAAAATTATAAATGATTTGCTAAAATTCTAAATTCAGAAAAGGTATCCTTCTGAGCCCTAAACTTTGTTGTTCCAATTAAAGTATATTTTAAAAGGGCTCCTTTGACAATCTTTAATTCAGGCAATAACTATAGAGAGGAGAAGAATAACCTGATTTGTAGTATAGTTGAAATTTTAAATGCCTTTAAATACCATATATAAACTCAGATGTTTTTCCTGAGAGGCTTAATGTCTAATCTGGCTCTGCCCCATCTTTCAGGGAAGGGAGGAGCGTAATCTTGTATTTAAGAATGTAGACTCTAGGGGCCTTATAAAAAATACATTTATTTGTTATTGAAGTAACATTGGCTTACAACACTATATGTGACTCAGAGACATAGGATCACAGATGCTCAGATATATGTCACCCACCCCCACTGGGCCCCTCTCCCCTCCCCATCTTGTATCCTCAATTCCACAGTCAGAATTCTAGAGTTTCTTATTGGTTTGGTTTTGTCTGACTCGAGGGACATTTTTTAAGAGAGTACTTTAATACATATTTTCATAACACAGATGTGGTTTTTGTTTTTAACCATAGTCTCAGTCATAGGGATAGTTTCTTTTTTTTTTTTCTTTGAATGCTGAAAAACCAATACATAACAGTTATGTTATTATAATGTAAATATTATTCATTGCAGGACAATAAATGGATGCTAAGATTATGTTTATTTTATTAGTAGTCCAAAGTAAGTCCTAGGCATTCAAAGAAAAATGTTTCTGTCTTCGAAAACAAATGGATTCTTTTTTCTTGTACTACATCAGTTATTCCCAGTTCACCTCATTTTAATTTGCTTCATATTTGCAGCCTGATTTTTTTGTTCAACTTTTTTTATTTTTATTTTTATTTTTATTTTTTTAAAGATTTATTCATTCATACAAGAACTGGGGTACATGTCAAAGGTGTGAGAGGATTCACCAGAGACAGAGTGGGGAACAGAACAGGCAGACCGACGAAATACACTGCTGAGGGGAGCAGCGGGCGAGTCAGGAGAGGTCTGCTGTGCCATGTGGGTTTGCTCCCTGGCCAGGATCGAACTCATGCTGCAGTGGCTGGCAATAGCTTGATAGTGCTGAGATTTTAACCCCTGTGCCACCAGGGAGGCCCCAAGTTCTTGAAACTTTTGGATCTTCTTATCCCGTATCCATGGTATTCTGTAATTTCATGAAGGTGTTTAGCCAAGTCAGTCCTTTCACTCAACTATCTCAACCTCCTCCCTCAAATTTTGACTTTTTAATTAATCAAGTACACATACATTTTCATAATTTTTTTAAAATACTGATAAAACTACTATCCCTTCATCTACTCTGCCTCCCTACAAACTCTTCAAAGGTTACTGACCGCTGCTATCAGTTGGTGTTTATACCTTCATCCATTTTCTAATGGATTAATATGCATGTACGTGTCCATATAAAGTTACATATTTTGCATTCTTTTTCTGTTTGATATGGTTGGGCTCAAACTGCACATAGTGTCCTGCAACATATTTTATTGTTGAACAACATGTCTTGGAGTTATTAGGGATAGTTTCTTGCTATTGTCTCTCCTTTCTATTTTGGCTAATTAAAATAACAGGACATTTCCATTATTACATAAAGTCCCATTGGAAATTGCTTTGTAGAAAACCATAAAAAATATAAACCTCAATCTAACATGCAGCTGGAACAGTGTTGTCCAATGGAACATTCTCTGATGATGAAGATATTGTATAGCTATACTGTCCAACATGGTCTCACTAGTTTCATGTGGTTGCCGAGCACTTGAGATATGGTTCGTGAGGGACCGAATTTTTTATTTTAGTTCCCTTATATATCAATTATTTAAATAATTCAAGTTGATAAAAAGAAGAATGTAGGGGTCACAGTCCACCAACTAGCTTTGTGTACTGGAAGACATCACCTAGCCTTGACTTACTAATCTGTGAAACAGGATTGGTAAAGTACCTGCCCCAAGGGCTGGAGAGAGACTTGCATGAGATGAGACTTCTGGCACACGATACATTCTCTACAAACACTTTCTTGCAGTAATAGAATGCACAGTTTTCCACCTTGATTTCCAAAATAGATTTAACAGGTAAAATAAGTCTTTCCTCTAGCAACCACAGAAGATTTGGGGGAGTATATTGGGCTGCCTTTGTAAGGTTTTCTTGAAATCTTAAAAAGCAGGTTATATGAAAGTCCACTGCTATGATAAAAAAATGATTCAGTTTTATCTTTTAATCTGAGAGAGTCCATACAGTTACATTTGGCAAGCTATTCTTTTTCTCATTTGCTACAACTGAGCAATGGTGTAAATAAAACAAAAAGACATTGCTATGTGGTGACTGCTTATAACTATGTGATAAGAGAAGACAGAGTCAAATGTAGGTGACATGGGTAATGAAGGTTTCAAAAACAGAAAAGAGAGATGACAGCAAGAAAATCTGATAGGTTCAGGAGGTTGGAAGTTGACATGTTTGGTTTTAAAGATTTAATTTCATGTTTATTCACATTTCATTCTACTTTCTATTCAGATCATATTATGTACAAACATAGGTGTTAGATTTAGGGAATTACAGCCTCATTTTCTAATAGAAGATTTTTTTTTTATTTATTTATTTTTTTAATAATAAATTTTATTGTTATATTCCCCATACAATTGCAGCCCCCCCATTCTGACCCCAATCCCTCCCCTCCCGCCCCCACCCTCTAATAGAAGATTTTTAAAAGAGAAAGACAATCAGCTAGTGCTACTCTGGCAAAAATAAAACAGACATCAAATAAGTAAATAATCAAAAGAAACTTAGTATCGAATAACCTGCAAAATTCTTCCCTATTTCTCCTTTTGTTTCTCCTTTCTCTAGTAATTAACTTTTAAAAATTTAATAGGGGCCTCCCCGGTGGCGCAGCAGTTGAGCGCTGGGTTGCGAAGCTGCCTGCAGTCTCTGCAGCACCAGTTTGATCCCTGGCTGCTGGGAGAGGGTCCCACATGGCGTGCATACCTCTCCTGCTGCCCGCTGCTCCCCTCAGCAGTGTACTTCGTCACTCTGCCTGTTCTAC